ATGCATATTTGGTGTTCTTGCTGATCCCCAATGATCCCCTGCCCACGTGCTGAGCCTCCCTCCCTGGCAGCCACTGCCAGGGACCAATTCCCAACAAACAGGAATTCCAACAGCACTGCCAGCACTGGTGCCTCACCAGTACTGACTCCTGCCTGGTGCCAGGGCTCTGTGCCATCCAGGGCTCTGCACAGCTCTGTCTGAGGGCACAATGGACACAAATGTTGCTCCTTAGGGACAAACCCCGGCCTCTCCAGGGCTGGGGGCCCAGCTGCTTCCTGATGGGAACCTCATTCCTGTCCATAACCCCTGAGTGCATTAGGCTTAATTAAAAGCTGTCCCTGCTGATGTTGGTGGCAGTGGTGAGTGGTGACTGTGGCTCTGCCATGTGCAAATGCCACGTCTGAGCTAAGTGACACTCAGGACATGGGTGGTTTCCCAGCATTTGGAATGCTGCTCCTGCTGCCTGCAAGGAACCTCCAGGCACCATCCTGGCACATACATATGGGTATTTATGGTGTATTCTCTTCCAAAACCCAAATTAAGGCCACTGGGAAAAAGAGGGTCACACCCTCCATGACCTGAGGAGGGACAGGGACAAAGAGCACAAACACAAACCTCACCAGTCCTAGTGGGAGCAGGACCAGCCAGCAGCTGGGAAGGGATATTTATGGAAGGTGCCAGCAAAAGGGATATTGATGGCTCTGGTGCCAGCAAAACAGCCCAAAATTTTGTCCCTCAAATGCCACCTTACCAGTGCCTGTGCCTCCTGCCCTGGGTCACCACTGTCCCATGCTGAAAGCGGGCACCCCACGGCCATATTTTGGTGGGGCTCTTGGGATAGTGGCACTGGCAGGTGCCAATCCTGCCACGTGGAGCCCTGGAGGGAGAGGAAAACATTTTCCATCTATTTCTTGTTTGCTGATTTTCTCACAGCTCTTCCAGCGACAGCGAGTGAAACCCAGCAGCGCAGCCAAGCCCCCGCATCTCGACAGCTCAAACACAGCCCTGGGGCAGCAGGCAGGGAAAATCACACGCTGGGGGAGGTCAGGGAGCACGAGGGAATAGGAGGAGATTAATTTGGGAACAGCATGCAGGCAGAATGAGGTCTGCCAGGGAAGGAGCATCGCTGGGCCTGCCACAGCCCGGCTGTCCCTGCCTGGGGAGCAGAGCCCGCAGGGGCTGCACGGACACATCGGCCCCACACGGGGACAGAAACCTGAGAAGCCACAGCAGGAACTGTCACAACCAGCTGGGCAGGAGCCAGAGCCCCATTGCTCAGGTCAAAGCTGTCCCCAGCCTGGGCAGGGGTTCCTGGAGGGTTTGGACAGGTGCTTCAGCTGCCACGTGTTCCTTCTGTCTAAACCCCTCTGGGCATTCTCCAGGAGCTCCTGTGGCTGCTCTAAGGAAGCAGCTGAGTTTGTTGCTTGTACCAAGCCCCAGGGTGCTGCCCTGGGGACAGGAGTGCCACTGCCACCAGCTCTTGGTGGGGACAAGCCCAAACTCCATGGCATCCCCTCTCCAGAGGGAACCTGTCCTAGGCTGCAAATGCAAGATGCTCCCAGGGCTGTGTGTTCTGTCCCCATCTGTCAGAGCTGGGGCAGTTCTCTGCTGTCCATGGGCAGTTTTTTCTTGATCTCTCCCCCAGCCAATCCTCCCTGCAGGAGATCTCTGCTGTCCATGGCCACTGAGTGTCCCTGCAGGGCTGATCCAATTCCAGCATCCCATGGGGAGATGCTGCATTGCCCAGGGCAGGAGCCAAGCATTCCTACCTGGATCCAATGTGAGCCTGGCACAGCCCAGCAGCCTTTGCCCAGTGCATTGCCAGAGGAGCAGCTTCTGCTGCCCTGCATGGCCAGAGGGAGCCCAGGCCCATCTCCAGCAGCCCTGGAGCTGCAGAGGAAAACTCCCCCCTTGTGCAGGATCCCTGCTCCAGCAGAGCCACAGCTGGCACTGCAGGAGGGCTGAGCCCCCATGGGATGGGGCTGTGCCACCACCCTGACACACAGGGGGGCAGGGACAGCTCTGATTCTGGCAGTAGTGGTTTTGTACTATTGCATTTGTATTTTTAGCTTCCCTAGTAGAGAACTGTTATTCCTACTCCCATATCTTTGCCTGAGAGCCCCTTAATTTCAAAATTATAATAATTCTGAGGGAGGGGTTTTACATTTTCCATTTCAGAGGAGGCTCCTGCCTTCCTTAGCAGACACCTGGCTTTTCAAACCCAGACAGAACCTGGTTCCCAAATCCCTGCCTTGAGTCCCTTTGAGCAGTAGCCCCGGTCACTGCAGAGCCTGGGGGTGTTCCCCCACTCCAGCTGCTTGCAGGGAGCTCAGGATGGGGGCTTGATCTGCTGTGAATCCACCACTGGCACACACTTCTGAAAGCTCAGTCAAGGCTTTACTCCCCCAGACGTGTCACCAAAAGGTTTTTGAGGGGAACATTCCCCCTGCAGGTCCTGCTCATGCCCGTGGCTCCTCAGGACCTTGCTCTGACCCTGCTGCCTGAGGGCTGGCACTGGCTGGCACCAGATTTGTTGTGGGAATGAGCTCTGTGTCCTCCTCACCCACGATGAAACCTCAGCAACTGCTTCAGCTCTTCCAGCAAAGAGAAATTCATCCAGCTTCTGGTCAGATTTCACATTTATGGGGATGTCACACACCCATAAAGAAGCTGCAGGGTGGTTTCCAGGCAAGGCCTGCACCTGGCCTGGGCCAGGAGCCTCAGGCTCTTCCCACCACCCTCCTCCCACTGCATTTCCAGCACAGCAGAGCCTGGGGGACAAGGGGGGTGACACAGCACTGGCTCCTTGGGGCAGGACTGCTGTCCACATGGGCAGGGATTGATTAAAAGCTCCTGAGATGGAATTGCACACATGGTCACCTCATGGTTACCTCAGCAGCAAAGCAAGAGAGAAAAAACCAACTTTGCTTTTAGATTTGTCCCATTATGGGTTTACATTCCTCAGCATGGAAGAACAGATTGGTTTAATGTCCAGCTAGCTCAGCTACAAAAGATGCAGCAGGGAAGAAAAATGTGATCAATTATTTAGGAGAGACTTTCAGTCTCACATCAGAGGTCCATCTCCTGAATTCATACATCTGAACTAAGTGCTGTTTTCCCATGGTACAGGGCACAAAGCAAATAGAGGCTCTAATTAGCACACTCAGCAGCCCAATATTTGTCTGTTTTCTGTGAGTCCCTCAATGAGCCCAGCAGTTCCCACCCGGGCTCCAGGAGCACGTCTGGCTGCCAGGATGTTTGTAGGGAACACACACAGCTTGGAAATGAATTACCTGTTTGAACAGAGGGGAAGAGCTCTCCTGGAACAAGAGCAGCTGGGTTCAGGCTGACAGAGCTCTCATTCTTCTGCACAATAACCTGTGGTGCCTGTTCTGCCCCAGCTGGGGCTGCCCTGGGCAGAGGAACACGTGGAATCAGCTCCTGCTCCAGAGCTCAGGGCTGTGACCACCACAGTCTGTCCATGGCCAGCAGGTTGGATCCAGCCTCTGCTGAAGGCACTTTTGGTTTTGGCTTTATCCTTTGCAGGCAGATGGCTCAGGAGGGGCTTGGGAAGGGCAGCCAGAGGACTTTGGTAGTTTCTGGGGTTTGTGCTCCAGTTCTGATCCCCATTTTCCAGGGAGAGGTTCCTGGAGTGTAACCACCTATAAACAGACACTGAAGGGCCTCACACCCAGTTTGCCAACCCATCACCAAAAAACCAAAGCTCTGAATTGTGTTGCTGCATGAGATGTTTGCCCAGAGCAAATGCTGGAAGGTGGGCACTCACCTGCACTCACCTGTGCTCACTTCCAGGCTTGGACCCAGCTTAGAGCCTTTCCCATGCCCAGCACCACCCTCCTGTAACCAGCCCCAACAGGAATTCAATCTCTCCAGCTCCACAGGCAGCCTGTGCCTGCACAGAAGCCCCCAGCTGTTCTACCTTCACTTCTAAAGCCATTTTCAAGTTTTCTTTGTAAGAATGAATTCTTTGCATTAGCAGGGAAAAGCCTCCAGTGACTGCAACACATTCTGTACAGGTGCATCAACCAAAATCTGCATCAAAGGTCTGCATGATCCTTGCAGGGAAGGTTTCCAACTGCCTTCCCTTGCAGGGAAGGTTTTCAATTGCCTCCATTGCCTCCATCCCTCCCTGGATGGGCCATGGGGCAGATGGAGATGCAAACAGGCTGGGTCTGGGAGCAAAACCCTGACCTGGGCTCTGACACTTGAAAATAACATTTTGTGTGAGAGGAGCAGCTTCCCTGGGCACAGGCTGCACATTCATGGACGTGCCCCATCCCTGGCAGTGCCCAAGGCCAGGCTGGACAGGGCTTGGGACACCCTGGGACATGGCAGGGGTGGCACTGGATGGGCTTTGAGGTCCCTTCCCACCCAAACCAGCCTGGGATTCTGTGACAGAGGAAAGCACAATGCAGGGCAGGTAAAGGAGAGTGTGTTCCAGGAGAGGAAAGGAGGGTAAATGCAGAGAAGAGGTGACAATTCCCAGCTTTTACAAACCCCATTTCTCACCAAACACGTTCCTGGCCCTAGGGTGCTGCCCAGCTCTGGTGATGCCTGGAGGGCCAGGAGAGCTGAGGGAAGGAGGCAGCTCTGGGGGTGACCTTGGTGCTCTGGTTGATGACAAATCCCTTCAAGGCAACAGCACCTACAACTGGGGCTGAGCTGGGGCTGCCATAAAGCAAGAATCAGCTTGGTCATGCAGCCATTGGCAATGACAGATGTGACACTGAGCTGAGCCAGCACCGGGGGGTGTCTGGACAGGATCCAACAGCCAGGACAGCTCCAGCCCTGGGGACAGAGCACTGGAGATTCTTCCCAGTGCCTGACAATACCTGGAGTGACTCCTGCTGGGCTGAGCACCTGGAAACTCTGTGTGTGTTCCTTTGCAAGTCTGAGATAAGCAGAGGCAAGTCGGGCTCTCAGTTGTTGACAACTTTTCTCTTTGTAGGATCTGATGCAAAGAAACAGAGACATTTCAATCCAGCAAAATAACTTTATTTCAACAGGGCAAGTACAGCCAAGTGGTGATTCCAGAGTTGCCCAGCAAGTGTCAGTTCCATGATCCATCAGTGAATGTCCTGCTGCTGACTTGAGGATCCAGGCTCTGTGGCCACCCTTCACAATGATTTCTTAGGTTTAGATTTCAAGTTAAATACATTCAGATTTGCTCCTGTCAGAGCACTGCTCACCAGTACATGGTTGGAAGTCACTGAGGAGTTAATTACACAGTTACCTGATTCGTGTGAAAAGAAAGCAAGGCTGCAACCCACAAACCCCTCCCTCTCTCCAGTGCTGCTGCCCGGAGCCCTCCCAGCACCTTGCAGGGGGAGGTCCCCAGTGTTCTTTGGGCCTTGGCAGTAAAAACAGTGCCTAAAAACACAGCAGCAAGAATCCAGGCAGCTTTGAACTGCCCCCCTGCCAGTCTGTGATCAATAACTGCTGCTCCCAGCACCTGCAGGAAGGAGCAGGGCCCACGGCAGCCCCCCTGCCCAGAGCTCCAAAGGACTTGGTGCAGGTGGTGCTGAGTGCCCGGCCCTGGCTGGAGAAGGATGAACTCTGCCTTCATTCATCTGGTGTTGTTTTGGTTTGGTGAAGCATTAAATAAATAAATAGGGCTGCTCTGTCAGCAGTTTGGGCTGTGGCTCCCAGCTGGCAGCTTGGCCTCTCCCAGCTCTACCCCGGCTCTCCGGTGCTGCTCTGGGCCTCCCCGCTGGGCACATTCCTGCGCTTCCTCAGCTGCATCTCCTCATCCTGCAGGAGAAAAGGAAGCACAAACTGCAAATTCAGCATCCTCCTGAGCTGGGTAAAACCTCTCCTCTCACCTCCTCTCCCACCAGCTCGGGTAAGCACAGCAAACAGAGCCCCCATCACTCCAGCTCCTCCCTGAAAACCCTGACACCATTGGACTCCCTCCCATGGGCCCTTCCCCATCCACCCTGTGCTCCCACTGAGGAACTGTCCAGGACTAACACAACAGCACCTTCCAAACCCTGCTGCAGTCAGAGCAGCAGGGATGGGACTGTCTGAGCTGTGCTGCTCAGCACACCTGGTCTCACAGTTACCTCAGGGCGGGCCTGCTGTCCCACAGAATCAAAGCCCTGTGCTTGGAAGGGACCTCTGGAAGATAATTCCAGTCATCTGCTCTAAGCAGGGCTGGATCAAGTGCTGGAGCTGCTTCTTCAGGGCTTTGCTTTTCAAATATCTACAAGGGTGGAGTTTCCACCTCTCTCCACACAGCCCAGGGTGGGTGTCAGCTGTGTGTACAGGGCAGCACTTCCCACTCGCCCCAGGGAGGGTTTTCTTCAGCACAAATTGTGCCAGGCCCCTCCTGGCTTTTTGATGGGCATCTCCTCCATAACCCCCTTCTCTTCCACAACCCCCTTCTCCTCCACAATCCCCTTCTCCTCCATAACCCCCTTCTCCTCCACAACCCCCTTCTCCTCCACAATCCCCTTCTCCTCCATAACCCCCTTCTCCTCCATAACCCCCTTCTCCTCCATAACCCCCTTCTCCTCCACAATCCCCTTCTCCTCCATAACCCCCTTCTCCTCCACAATCCCCTTCTCCTCCACAACCCCCTTCTCCTCCACAACCCCCTTCTCCTCCATGATCCCCTTCTCCCTCCCCACCCTGCTGGCAGATCCTCCCTTCAGCTCCTCTCCCCCCAGGCTGGAGGAAGCAGCTCCCTCAGCCTCTCCAGCCCTGATCCACCTCATGAGGAAACCCAGAGCTGCAGGACAGGATTTAACTGTGGCCAGGTTTTGCCACACGTGGCAGGGCCTGGCCTGAGGAGGGTGAGCATGTGCCATTTAGTGTCTGTACTAACAAAAAGCAATTCTGCACAGTTCTCCTCAGGCAGCCCCTCCCAGATGCTCCTCTCAGCATCTCTCCCAACACATCCACCTGACACCATTCAGCCAGGACCCAGCAATGACCAGCACAGCCTGTTCAGGGTGTTCATACCGAGTCAGAGTCTTCCTCAGCCTGGTTGCTTATGAAATCAAGGTAATCATCCTTCTGGCTGTCCAGAACTTCTTCCTCATACTCAGTCTGGTAGTCTGACTCATCTGAGGAGAGAAGACACAAAGCACAGGGTTTAACTGGCAAGCAGAGAGGCAGAGGAAGCTGGGAGAGGAATGAGTGCCACTGTCACTGAGCACAGGCAGGCCAGTGCCAGCAGCTCTCTGCAGCTCAGTGAACTGGGACTGCTCACACACAGATCTCAGCTCCCCAGCACATAAACACAAACCACATCCTCTCTGCCAGTGGTGTCCTGGAGCCCTCCAGAATCCAAGGAACCACAGCACAGCAGCTCTGTCCCACTGTTCAGGTCACTGTGGTGGGTGCCAGCTCCCAGAGGGACACAGGTTTGGGGGGTGCTCCCTGGGGAATGCCCTTCACAGCACAGCTGCTGTGTTCCACCCCTCAGCCCAAGCAGACCCGTGGGACACCTTGAGAAGCCTCTGAGCTGCCAAGCCAAACTCCCTGTGCTCACAGGCTCTGGACCAGGGATCCCAGGCTTAGGGTGAGCTCTGCCTGCTGTGGAGCTGATAACTGAGTGCCTCACAATCTCTGCTCCACAGGGACACTGACATTCACATTCCCTTCCTCTCTGCAGAGCACAATCACTGCTTTCTCCAGTAATCCGGCAGATTAACATAATTTGGGGAGTCTCAAGAGCTGTGCACAGCAGCAGGATGGGCAAGGAACAGCCCCAGCCTGTTCCAATGGAATGAGGACACATCAGTGCAGAGCCAACACCTCTGCCAGCATCTGGAGATCACCTGGAGGATCTGCAAAACAGGCAGCAGGAGCAGGACCTGCCAAGGGCCTGGAGGAGCAGGACAAGGGGGCTGGCCTTAAGGAAGACAGGGCTGGATGGGATATTGGGAATTAGGAATTGTTCCCTGTGAGGGTGGGCAGGCCCTGGCCCAGGGTGCCCAGAGCAGCTGGGGCTGCCCCTGGATCCCTGGCAGTGCCCAAGGCCAGGCTGGACAGGGCTGGGAGCAGCCTGGGACAGTGGGAGGTGTCCCTGCCATGGCAGGGCTGGCACTGGATGGGCTTTGAGGTTCCTCCCAACTCAAATCCTTCTCTGACTCCACCTGCACCAGGGCTGCTCCCCACAGCAAGTCCAGGAATGAGCTGGGCTGGGGGAGCCATTGCTGGTCCCAGCTCCCCCCAGCCCCTGTCCCAGCCCCTGGTGACCCCAGGGCACGTGGGCAGCAGGACAGAGCCCCTGGCAGGCAGCACCTTCCTCTGCTGGCACTCAGAGCTTCAGGATGCAGCTGAAGGTGTGAAAATGACATTTTATGGTCACCATTAAAATCACCTTTGTGTGACACCAGCTCTTCTGCCCCTTTCCTGAGTTAATTCCAGTGCTCTGAGGCAATAGCTGGATGCAGCCCACTGGTGAAGAGAGGGGCTCCTGTTTAAACCAGATCCTTGATTAAGTATTTCTCCTGGGAGCCATCAATAGCATCTGCTCCATGCTGAAGACAACAGCACAGTTTGTTCCACAGCCTTTTCTCCTAGCACATAACTACTACCAACTGCTAGAACATTGGAATGAAAGACATTAGGTCTTTTTTATTTTCTTTTATTATTTTTAGGGGTTTTTTTTACTGAGAATTAGACAATGATTGTTGGTTTTTACTAAAAACACTAATGATAATCTTCGATAAAATAGACCAGAGAAACTGGAAACTCATCTGAACAGTAACAGACACCACAAACAAGAGTTTGGACTTTATACTTCCAATAAAACCAGCTGCCATCAAGACCAAATTCCTTGATTCTCCCAGCACTATTCAGCATTTAACAGGTCCTTCTACAGACACAGAACCAAGAGCCACCCTTCCCACATCCCTCAGAGCACAGCTCTGGGTGCTGGAGGGGGGAAAGGAGAGCAGGAGGTGGCCCTGCTGTCCCAAACCATCACCTTCCACCAAGGCTGAGCTCACAGTGATGCTCTGGGCACTACAAAACCTCCCAGAAGCACCAGGCAGGACCAGGGCCTTGCTGCTCTGTTCAGCTCAGCACCACCCAAAGAGCTCAGCCAGGAGGAGATTCCAGCCTGGGAAGGTCCCCAGGCCTGGCCTGAGCAGGGTGAGCACATTCCCTGCAGGGAGGGCATTTCCCACCCAGAGCCTGCCCCGTGCTCCTGCAGCTGGGCTGTTTCTGCTTTTGGCTGATTCCTGCAGGGAAGCCCAGCTGGGCACAGCTGTGCTGTGGCTGGAGGGGTCAGTCAGCACCTGGAAGCTCAGCACAGCCTCAGCTGCATTAGTGCTGCTCCAGAAAAGTTCTTTTAAAGCAGCTAAGATGCAGAGGTGGCTGGTGCCTGCTAATTGTGTCCCTTGAGAGGTGCTGGGATGTCTCCTGCTCCAGCTGGATGGCAAACCCAGGCATTTGACAGCACCAGGAACATTTCTCCTCCACAAATCCCTTTATCCAAATGACCACTGCTACAAGTGCTGCATCTCCTGGGCTCAGCCATCCCACCCAGGGGGAGCCTGAGCAGGGATGTGACAGAGCCACCCCCAAAGTGGCACCTGAGCTCCCCTGGCCACAGCCACAGCTGGGCAGAGGGATGATCCTGGCTGAGGGAATGTGGGGATGGAGAATGGCAACAGGGCCACCAACACTGCTGTGAAATGAGACACTTGTGCCCCGGCACTCTGGCACTCAGGTCCCTCTGCTCAGCCCTGCCTGAGGCACAGGATCCCTTTTGAAAACCTTTTTCATGTCTTTGGTCACTGCTCTCTGTGTGCTCAAGAGGAGGAGGAATTCCCCTGCCCTTTCCCCACGAAGCCCACACAGCTCCTGCCCCACCCAGGCTTCTCACCCTCTGTGCTGACCCTTCCCCATCCATCAGAACTTAAGCCTTTCCCTTTGCTTTCTTGAGAACAAAATTACTGCCAGGATTTCCCCAGCCAGCCCCAGACCTGCAGGGTGCTCAGCCTCTGTGCCTTTCTCAGCCTCTGTGATCCAAACCTCCCTCAGGAAGGGATTTCCAGGGAGAACAAAGGTGACAGTGCAGGATCACAGCCAGGCCACCAAGGAGTTCCCTGTCCCCTCCCCAGGTCACAAGCCTCAGAGCCCCCTCACCCCCAGAGCAGAGCAATGCCAGAGGAGCCACCTGACAGCCACGAGGCCACTGCAGGGAGGTGCCACCCTCCCCCTGAGCTCACCTCACCACACACCTTCCCCCACAGCTCTTCACAAGTGTCTCATGCACTGAGGGATGTCACTGCTGTCACTGCCACCCAGACACAGCCAGGGTCCCCTCAGCCACATGGCAGAACACAAAGGATCCTGCACGTGCACGACTCTGCTGCCAGCCCCTCCTCAGACCCTACAGCCAAGGCATTTCAGCAGCCATGGGGAGCACATGGCCCCATCCCATCCATGGCATCCATGCCCAGCAGCCCCTGCACTGCCCCTCCTCAGCCCAGAGGCTGCCAGGTCCATTTGCCACACTCCCTCCACAGCCCTGCCCAGCAGAAAGCAGGAGCCTAACAGGGAATCATCAGGAGCTCCAGAGTGGAGGAGGATCTGTCCCAGTGCTCTGGTGAAATCTCAGCAAGTCTCAGTGCCTGAGCCTTAAATAACCACATACCATGAACTCTTCACTCTTATTCACAATGGCTGCTTCAACCACATTTGATTAATATTTTCTTCATAAGGCATATGATTGTAATTAGCATTTCAAATTACCACAGGGACATCTCTGCAAACAGTCACAGATGGGAGCACTGCTAACTTTAGCTTTCCCTCTGCAGGAACAAGAATCAGGAGGAGGGGAAGAAACTGTTTAGAAAGAGCTCCAGCCCTGGTGACACACTCGGGGGTTTCAGGCCTGCAAGGCTCTGATCCTTTTGGATCTGAGAGCTCCATAACCAGGGAGCTGCTCTGCAGGGCAGGGCCAGCACAGGGCACAGAGCCCCTCTGTGCCACCATGCAGGAGCTGCTGCCTGCTCCTCTCCAGTTCACTGCTGCTCCCACAACAGGAGCACACAAAAAGCACTGGAGCCAGTGAGTCACTCCTGATCCTACTCACGACAGCAGGGAAAACATCCTTGGGGCAAGGCTTGAACTCAGCCTCCCCCTGCCCAACATCCTTGGGGCAGGGCTTGAACTCAGCCTCCCCCTGCCCAACATCCTTGGGGCAGGGCTTGAACTCAGCCTCCCCCTGCCCAACAGGGCTGAGGATGGAGCCAGCAGAAGGTCACAGGACAGCCTGAGGGGATGGAAGCTGAGCTGCCCCTTGTGTTATTCCCTCAGCTGAGACTCCAGCAGGGATTATTCCCCCCTGGGAGCTGCCCAGGAAGGGGCTGGCAGCAGCTGCTGAGGACACCCCAACCGATCCCACTGTCCCAGAGGAGGTGGCAGGAGGGGGACACAGAGGGTCAGGGCCCTGAGGGAGCAGGGAGGGGCTGGCAGTGCCCAGCAGGGCCCTTGCTGAGCACAGGCAGGGGAGGGCAGGCAGGCAGGAGCTGTCCCTTGTCCCCCTTGTCCCCCTCACCGTCGGCCAGCGGAGGAGCCTTGACGGGCTCGATGCGGGACACGATCTCAGCCAGGTCTGTGAAGGACGTGGTGGGACAGGTCACGTTCTGAAACACAGAAGTTGAAGGTTTGTCAGCAAATGTACACAGAAATGTACACAGAAAATCCAAACAAGTCGAGACTGTATAAAAATGATATTGAACAGACAAAGCTCCAGACGCACAAATTCTCCACAGCTGCCCCCTCATTACTCATCAGTGAGAAATCCTGCAAACAGCTCTCCTGAGGCAGGTCTGCTGGCAGAGATGGGATTCCCAACAGTGGGACATGCTTTTAATGGCTCTTACTCCACCCACACAACAAGGAGCCTTATTAAAGAGACCCCAGAGACAAGCACAGGAGGGGCTGGGCCCCAGCATGGCAGAGCTCCCTCCATGTGTTTTTCTCCATCAGGGTCCCTTTGTGAGGCACTGCCTGGGCCAGGTGCTGCCCCCAGGGAGCTTCTGCTTTTGGGAGAAGGTGACCAGGTGGGACACACAGTGGCCATCCCTCAGCTGGAGTGATGCCACAGAGGCTGCAGGGACAGGAGGGCACTGGGGTGAGCAGGACCCCCAGGGACCCCTAAAAGCCCCAGAGCTGGAGGTGCTGCAGCGAGCCAGAGCCTGCAGAGACATCTCCCACTGCAATTCCTCTCTCCAGTAAACCCTTGCTATTTTCACTCTGTCTCATCCAAGCAGTGGGCTGAGTGTTCTCTATTTTGAGAAGTTCTTGCTCCAGTGTCTCCTCTAAGAAAACCCAGCTTTGGCATTTAGGAGCCCTCTCAGGCTTCCTGCAGCCACCCCTCCCTCTCTGGGATGGGCACAAGGTAACCAGGAGGACACCTCAACACCTCTCATCCTTTTTTAAACCCAGTGAGTTTAATGGACACAGCAACAACCCCAGCCCAGAGGAAGGGGATGGGGGAGAGCACGCAGAGGGAACTGGCCAGGAATTGCTGTGCCAGTTGTGTTCCCAAACACCCAGACCTGCCCATGTGCTCCCAGCCAGGGCAGCTTCATAACAGGGGGTTTTATGAACAATCCTCTGCTCCTCTGGCAAGAACACCAAGCCTGTGAATCACACAGCCCCCGTGGGGTCACAGCAGCAGCCCATTGCTCCTGCAGCAAAGTGCTCTCAGTTGACCTTTCATCTGATTTTGATGTAATTTAGAACAGCCACAGCACAGAGCAGATCCAGGACAAGCAACAGGGGCAGAGAAAGCCTGGAGGGAATGAAAAGGTACCTGTATGAAATGGAACAGCAGCAGCTCAGGACACACACCTTAAAACATAAAGAAGTTGAGAAGCTCATTGTGACTGTTAAGGAACTGCTGGAAAGGATGAGTCAGCCCAGGCTCACTTTGAACATCCAACCTGAACGTTCCCAGTGCAGCATCTGCAGGAAGCTCCTCCCCAGGACAGGGAAGAAAAGCTCCTTGACAGCTCCAGCCTGTGCCACAAAGCTCAGTGAGGGACACCACAGGGACACAGCCAGGTCTGAGGCTGTCCCTGCACCCCAGAACCCAGGAGGATGAGGTGGCTGCCCAGAGCACTTGGGCACAAAGTGCCAGGCTGTCCCTGGGAGCAGGGATGGAAGGGCTCTGCATGAACAGGTGAACAAAATCCTGCAAGGCTCAGCACCTAAGTGTGCCCCAGGAAAACCATCAGCAGCTCCTGTGGTGAGGATGGATGGGAATGAAGTGGGACTGCAGCCTCAGAAGCATCTGTCCCCCAGCTGTCCCCAGGTCAGCCTGTTTGAGGGCACTGGGCAGACAGCTGCACCCAAAGCCTCAGCACCAGGACTGGAAAACCACTTGAGGGAAACCAGGTGTGTTCCCACACTCATTTGGTGCTTTACAAACAGGAGTTTAATGTTTCAGTGCTTCCTCTCACTATTTTTAAGGACAAAATCACCCTCCCATCAGATAACACAAAGCAAAGAAGTGTCTCACATCCACCTGAAACCCACTCTCAGACTTCTTGGGTAATTTTTTTTTCCAAGGAGGAAAGTTTTTCTCTTTGGCACAATCTTTATGAAATAAATTAGAGGAGAAAGACAGTTACTATTGTAGTCCACTGGTTTATATTTAGCTTTGAATATGAATAACAGCTCAGTAGACAGAACTTCCCCAAGCAGACCCAATTAATGGTGCTGCAGCATTCCATACTGGGAAGGAGTAAGAGCTGCTCAAAGTAAAGTTTATGTAAGGTTCCTGTTGTTTGTGTCTTCAGTATTTGCATTTTGGAGACAAGATAAACAGGGACTAAATGATCAAAGCAAAGGAGAAGCATCTAAATGATTAAATATCTGGATTTTTAAATAAAACTGCAATGCTCACAACATGGAAACGAGACGATAAGAAATGGCACTCAGCTCTCAGATGTTGAACACTCCAGAAATAGATGAAGAACTAAAACACATAAAGCATCAAAACCTTTGCTAATGAAAGGCAAGTTAAAAATATCAGCTGCTCTGCCTGGAAGATAACACAGCTAAAGGACTTAAGTGACTCTAATGGACTAAGAAAAGCAAGAAAAATACCCCAGTGGGAGCTGCAACAGTTGTAACTTCATAGAAATAAATCTCCTGCAACACAAGTCAGATGCAAAAACCTTGGGTTTCAGAGGGCTCTGGAGTTTTAGGAGGATGAGCAGATGATCCCACAGGTCCTTGGGATGCACAGAGCCTGTGGTTCCTGCTCCATAACCTGGCAGGGGTGGTGAGTCACTCTCCCAACCCTGTTATTTCCGTGCTGTGGCACCTCAGCAATCAGCACTTGGTGCCTCATTATCAAGTGAGTGCAGGGTCAGGCTGTGTCTGCAATGAGGAGGTGACAGATTTGCTCTCCTGGGCACTGAAGTGCCACAGAAGCCAGGGGAGGTGTGATAAATGTCCATCATGCTGCTGTGATAGCATGATTTAAGTGAAATATTCCCCTCCATTACTGAATCCTGTAAAAAGGGCAGTTTAAAAAGCAGTCTTCTTTAAAAGAAGTGTCTGTCACAGCACTGAAAATGTTTGAGGCTTTTTACTGGCTGGTGATAAAAGCGAGGCTGAAATAGGACACAGCCAACTCTGAGACACACAATTCTCCCTGCCTTGACTTCTCCTTGTGCCTTCAACACAAAACCTGAACCCCAGCCCCTCATGGCTGATCAGGAGGTGCCAGAGGTGGACTGAGGACTCATCTTGTGCAGCCACACTGAAGCACCTCCTCACCCAGGTGTGCTCCCAGGGAGGAACCCCACTGAGGAGTCTGGGGGTTCCTCAGGCTCGTGGATCTCCAGGGGTCTCCTCCAGGGCTCAGTCCCTGTGTGCTCCTTCCAGAGCCACTCTGGCCCTGCCAGGCAGCGTGGGCAGATCCATCCTCATTGCTGGGAAGTCCCCCTGGAGCTGAGGGTGACATTCACCTCCTCCCAGCAGAGCCATTTCCACCCCTCAGTGACTCACAGCCTCTGCTGACACTGAGGGCACCTGGATGTGGAATCATCCACCCCTCATCCCTGGCCCAGTGTCCATCCTGCCATCCATCCTCTCCCTATCTCTGAGCCAAAGTGCTCTGCCACCCACCTCTGGAGAGCTGCAAATCCTCAGTGTCATCTCTCACCTCACTTGACTTCCCTCTGAGAGGATCAAGACAGCTATGATTCATTCTGGCCATCCCTTAAAAAATTACTGCTCATTTCCCTCTCTAAAAGATGATAAAAAAGAATTACTGGGTAAAACATGAAGCCTTTGTAGCACTTGGGTTTCAAATCAGAGGGATTCAAAGGAGAGGAAGGACAGTGAGCCCTTATATTATCATATATTATCCAAATTCCTCAAAAAGGCGATAACTTTCTTAAAACCAACTGGAACTTCCCTGCCAGGAAATCCAGAGCTGTGACCCAGCCTCAGGGCAGTCACTGTCCCCTGCCCCAGCCCTGAGCAGCTCCAGGAGCACAGAGCATTTCCCTGAGCACTTACATCAGTTTTGGATTTGCAGGTCTCTTGCCTGTCCTTCAGCATCTTGTCAAGGACTCCACTCCTGCACCACACATTAAATACAGTTTTCCCATGCTGGTATCCCACTTCCTGGAAAAAAAATCAGGAGAAAAGAAAGTAATTAATAACTGCCATTAGCATAGGAACAACTGGAAAAAAACAGGCCCATTGCTCCAAGTTTTACTCTTTTTCTCAGAACACAGTAGAAATGACGTTGAAAAATCAAATGGGAGGACAGAGCAACAGGTTTTGGGAGCCCTGGATCCCATCTCCAGCCCTGGTTCTGGCAGCAGCACTAAACCTCTGGTGTTGTCTCTCCTCCAGTTTTTGGATGAGGGTTCAGAGCCTTCCTTGGGGCTGGAATTCACTTCCCACCATCTATGCCAGCCCAGAGTGTGGGTGATTAAGGGAAGAAAAAGGAGCTGACAGCTCTGCCACTGGCAGGTCAGGCTGACCCAAACCAGCCAGGAGAAGCTGAGCTGCAGAACAGCCACTCCTGCTTGGGGCTGAACATGAGGGGTTTGATATGAAGAGATTTCAGCTCCTTGGAAAATGCTGGTGCCCATTTCTATTTCCTGTAAAATCCAGGCACAGAGCTGAAATGAACCCCCCCAGTACTTCCCAGCCCCTAAGGATAAAGGAATGCCTGGACTGTCCTTCCCTTTGGACAGCACAGTTTAAAGCTCCCTTTTGGACTGAAGTTACTGAGCTGTGCTGCAGGGAATGAGGATCCAGGAGGTGCTGCCCCTCCATCCCTGCAGTGTCTGGTGCCAAGAACCTGCTCACAGACAGTGACACTTGTGAGGAACTGCCCTTCTCTCAGGTTTTATTGCACTGACAAAATTTGCCTGGTGCTTTTACATCTCTTTAACAGCAGCACATTAGAACAGAGCAGGGATGTGACAGCTCACGATCTGCTCCCGTGAGGAACTACCACACCTGTCTGTCAAGGTCTCCACATCAGCCAGGGCTCTCCAGCTGGCAAAGAACAAAGAATTATATATCAGCAAAGTCCTAGATCCACAAGCAGACAGCAGTGTTTGCCCAGGAGCCAAGAGGCACCAAATATCCCAGAGAAAATATTTACACTGGGGAAATCAGCTGGAGGTTTGGAGTAGCTGCTGTGTGTCCTAAGGAGTCTCTCAGATGGGAACCTGCAGGGCTAAGCTGTGCTCCTGGGGCTGGTCAGTGTTTGCTAAGCCAGGACCAGAGAGAGCAGTCTGCAGGCTAAGGAGCATCACAGCTTCTCATTAAAGTGTAATGGAGATTGACTTCAAGGAGGAGTGGTGCTTTTCCAGCCTGGGAGAGGAGCAAAGCTCTGAAGGAATATCTGGACATGGAAGATGCCTGCAGGGCTAAAACAGGCAAAGAATGGAAGGAGGCAGTAAAATCATTTTCTTGACAGGAGACACTGAGCCAGAATGGCTTTTCCTGTCCTGCCTGAATAGGGACATTTCTGCTGTGAACACTGGATTATGTCAGCAGGACAATTCCCTGCACACCTGGAGCCAGGTCTGCCCCTGCTGGGCTCTGACACAAACAAACACAACCCATGCCAGTGATGTGTGAACTGGCAGCACCACTTCAACACCCTGACACTGGTGCCACTTCCTGACCCTCTAAGGGGTGCAGAGGAATTGTGGATGATGTTTTATTCACAGAAGGGTTCAAATGTTCACAGAACCAGGTATTTTCACATTTCCCTCCATTTCCAGGATTCAAGGCCTCCCTGACAGATTTCTGCAAACCTTTCATGACACAACAAGCTCCAGGAGGAGGTGAAAGTGAGGACAAACCTCAGCCCACAGCAATGCCAAACCCCAAAACTGCCCAGAGCAGCTCTCACCCAGCAGCTGAGCCTGAACTGCCACGAAAGAGAGCAAGGCAACCCATCCCTTCACAGGTCATGACAGAATCAAGATTACAAACTCAATTCCTGCTGCTAATCCAATCTCCCAGCTGAGATATCATTCCACAGCATTATTGAGTGTCAATTATTCACTCTGCCAACGCACTCCTCTGCACTCTGCCACGCTCTGCACTGGCTGCAGCACTAATTACCAGCAGCAGGGCCGTGAGGAACAGGGCTGTGAGGGGCAGGGAGGAGCAGGGCTGTGAGGGGCAGGGCAGTGAGGGGCAGGGAGGAGCAGGGCAGTGAGGAGCAGAGCCATGAGGGACAGGGCCATGCGGGGCCATGAGGGACAGGCCGGAGCAGGGCCGTGAGAGGCAGGGCCGTGAGGGGCAGGGCCGTGAGGGGCAGGGCCGTGAGGGGCAGAGCAGTGAGGAGCAGAGCAGTGAGGAGCAGGGCTGTGAGGGGCAGGGCTGTGAGGGGCAGTGAGGGGCAGGGCAGTGAGGAGCAGAGCCATGAGGAACAGGGCTGTGAGGAGCAGAGCTGTGAGGAGCAGGGCCGTGAGGGGCAGGGCCGTGAGGGGCAGGGCCGTGAGGGGCAGGGCAGCGAAGAGCAGAGCAGTGAGGAGCAGGGCTGTGAGGAGCAGTGAGGGGCAGGGCAGTGAGGAGCAGAGCCATGAGGAGCAGGGCCGTGAGGAGCAGGGCTGTGAGGGGCAGTGAGGAGCAGTGAGGGGCAGGGCAGTGAGGGGCAGCGAGGAGCAGAGCAGTGAGGAGCAGAGCAGTGAGGAGCAGAGCAGTGAGGAGCAGAGCCATGAGGAGCAGGGCTGTGAGGAGCAGAGCTGGGCCCTGGGTTGCCAGGGGCACTCACACAGATCTCGTCGAACTTGCCGAAGTCCAGGGTGCCGTAGCGGTCGATGGGGGGCCGGATGTACTCGCAGTAGTCGCTGTTCTTCACCATCTCCAGCTGCCGCACGCAGCACACGTAGGCCAGACGTGTCTGGATCTCGGCCATGTTCAGCACCTGCCCAGCACAAATTCACAAATTCAGCTCCTCCAGGTGGCTTTCAGAATGTGCTCGGTGTGCTCAGCATGGGGGAGAAGTGAGCTGGTGTCTAAGGCTGGAAACGGGGCTGTGTGTTCTATCCCCATCTGTCAGAGCTGGGGCAGTTCTCTGCTGTCCATGGGCAGTTTTTTCTTGATCTCTCCCCCAGCCAATCCTCCCTGCAGGAGATCTCTGCTGTCCATGGCCACTGAGTGTCCCTGCAGGGCTGATCCAATTCCAGCATCCCATGGGGAGATGCTGCATTGCCCAGGGCAGGAGCCAAGCATTCCTACCTGGATCCAATGTGAGCCTGGCACAGCACAGCAGCCTTTGCCCAGGGCATTGCCAGAGGAGCAGCTTCTGCTGCCCTGCATGGCCAGAGGGAGCCCAGGCCCATCTCCAGCAGCCCTGGAGCTGCAGAGGAAAACTCCCCCCTTGTGCAGGATCCCTGCTCCAGCAGAGCCACAGCTGGCACTGCAGGAGGGCTGAGCCCCCATGGGATGGGGCTGTGCCACCCCCCTGACACACAGGGGACAGGGCCTGCTCTCACTCTGGCAGTGGCTTGTTTTCTTTATTTGTCCTATTACATTTGTATTTTAATTTTCCTAGTAGAGAACTGTTATTCCTACTCCCATATCTTTGCCTAAGAGCTCCTTAATTTCAAAATTATAATAATTCTGAGGGAGGTGGTTTACATTTTCCATTTCAGAGGAGGCTCCTGCCTTCCTTAGCAGACACCTGTCTGTTCAAACCAAGACAGCTGGCACCTGGTGATGCCCTGGCACAGCAGCACCTGCAGCTGGGCCCCAGTATGGGCAGGCAGGGAGAGTGTCCCTGGTCAGCACAGGAAGGGAATTGCCTTCCAACAAGCTTGAACCAAGACTTTCATCCCAGGATATAGTGAAATAAATATAGAACTTAAGAGATCTGTGCTGAGGTGAGGGGCACAGTGATCCTCCAAGGCAGAAATCAGTGATGCCCCATCCCTGCCAGTGTTCAGGGCCAGGCTGGACAGGGCTTGGAACCTTGGGGGGGAATTGAAAGAGCTTTAAGGTCCCTTCCAACCCCACCCAGTCTGTAATGCCATGGTTCTCTGATCTGTCCAGTGCCAGGGCAGAGACTTTGCAGAATGGCTGAGGTGGACAGGGACCCCTTGAGATCATCCAGTCCATCCCTCCTGCCCAGGCAGGGCCAGCTGGGGCAGCTTGTCCAAGACCATGTCCAGCTGAGTTTTGACCATTTTCACAGATGGAAACTACCAGCCCTCTGTTTGGCCAGTGTTTCACCACAACCAATAAATAAAAAGTGTTTTTTGGTGTTCAGAAGGATTCCATGTTTCCATGGCTGCCAACTGCCATTCAGGCAGTTGGAATATTTCACTGGGTACTACTGAGACCAATTCCAACTGGAGAATGCAACTGGGAGGAAAGAATTAAAATCAATATCCACTTGGGGGAGAGTAGCAGAGCCAGGTAATTTAGGAAATGCAGAATAAGGAAGAGAGTTGGTCTGAGCACATGCAACAAAAGGAAAATAATAAAATCATGCTCTGCAGACCCCTGTTTATCAGTTGCACTTAATTACTGCCAAGTGCTAAAATCTCCCTAAATCAGCAGTTCAGAGACACAGGATAGAAAGTGAGCTGGACAGATTTACTGCTTTTATGGGTAAAATTAATTAATTCTGAGTTTATCAGAATGTATGCAGATCCAAGAAAAGATTTCTTTGCTCTAAGAATTCTGCCAGCCCCTTCCCACATCACTGCCTTCCCTTCTTTGAACAAGAATTCACATTTCAGGAGCAAAGGAGACTCAGGGCTGCCCTCATCACTCTCACAGCTCCTGAAAGGTGCCTGTGCTCAGCTGGGGCTGGGCTCTTTCTCCAGCAGCACTGACACAACCAGAGCACACAGCCTCAAGCTGTGCCAAGGGAAATTCAGGTTGGATAGCAGGAAAAAGTTTTTTACAGAAGGAGTGATAAAGTTCTGGAATGGCTGCCCAGGGAGGTGGTGGAGTCCCCATCCCTGGGTGTGTTTAACAAAGCCTGGATGTGGCACTGGGTGCCAGGGTTGAGTTGAGGGGCTGGGGCTGGGTTGGACTCGATGGTCTTGAAGGTCTCTTCCAACCTGGTCATGCTGTGAAATCCAGCAAAACAACAAATCTGGCCCAGACGTGCTCCCTGAGTAACAGAGGGAATCTTCCCACTTCTCCCACTCCTCCCACTGCCCTGGAAAACCATTCCAGCCCAGCCCCAGTACCTTGACTTTCTCAGCCAGGGGGTTCCACCTCTTCCAGAGCAGCCACCAGCCGCTCAGGCAGTCGCCGTAGTTGGTCAGGTCGGTCTCGTCGCGGCTGCCCACGTCGATGGCGATCACCACCTTGGCCCCCATGGACCTGGCCACGTCAGCTGGGGACAGGAGGTGTCAGAGCCCCTGTGTCACCTCCCTGCTGCCCCAGGTGCAGATACAGATCTGCACGGCTCAGGTGTGGCACCTGAGGTCGCACCCACCGCGAGCAGCAGGACAGAAGTGCCCGTGGGTGCCCATCCCTGCAGGGATCCAAAAGGTGCATGTGGCACCTGGGGACATGGCTTAGTGCTGGGGAGTGGCTGGCCTCAGCCTTAGAGGATCTTCAGCCTAAACAACTCTGTGATTCCACATGAACTCTGCAACAGTTCACTGTTCACAGTTCAACTCTGCCCAGACCATTCCTGCTCAGGGAGGCTCTGTGGGGAGGGAGGGATCCCAAATCCTGCACCAACCAGGCCCTGAGTGACCCCAGGGTGAGTCCCCACTGCTGCACTGCTGGGGGACATCACTGACAGGGGATGTTTTGCCCCAGATCAGCGGGATGACCTGACCCTCCCTGAGGTCACCAGGCAGCAGGGACAGGGCACACAGCACCAGGGCAGTGACACCACGTTGGGTACAATGGGATAGAGCACATCAAACCCACATTAATTCCAAAAAAAAACCTGGGGGACCTGCAGAGAGAACAAGTGGCAGTGCCTTAGAGAGAGCAGTGCCAACGCTGCAGGGAGAAGGTGACAATGGGAGGAGCAGGACAGGGACCTGCCAGCGAGGAGAGGCTGGATGGCAGCCTGAGAACAGCTCTGGGATCCAAGAGAAGGATTCACATCTGAAAGTGGGAAGAGAAATGAGGCAACACTTCCCACTTCAAGGTCAGTAAAAGGACGAGCTGCAGTCTTTGGATACGGGTGAGGATTTAGGGAAGCGCCAGGGGAGGGAAGAGAAGGACATGAACCTCACAGAATGGATTTCTATTTCTTTCACACCCCCAGAGTCCAAGATAGTTGCAGTTTCCAGAATAGTTTTGCGTAGGAAAACCACAGCTCCTGAAGAGCCAATTTAGAGGCTTAATTTAGACACTTATTTAGATCAGATCTGTTCTGTGACTTGGATTTATATTCCTGGGCTTGTTCAGTCTATTGTTTCCCACCCAGTGACACCTGTGCCTGCTCTTTGCCCTCTCCAGCTGTGGAGATGCAAGAGTTGCTTTGGTTTGCAAGTCACAATTCTGGCTTACAATCACAGAGAATGGAGATGCTGATTTGGGGGATCTGTTTTGTGCTATTTCAGTTCATGGGTTTTAGGTAAATACAGCCCTGATGGAAAAATAAAGTCAGGGTGTGACAGGAAGATGTAAATGGCTCGGGTTGCTCAGGTGGGAGTCTCTGCCTGAGGTTCCTCCCTCTTTACCTGGGTCACAAACTGCAGTGACCCTGCAGGGCTCTGCTGCCTCAGCCACCCCTGAGCCACCCACCCTTGTGACTGCAGTGAAATCTGACACAAAACACATCCCAAACACGGCCAGTTCACACCCCTGGACCCTGCTGGGGCGTTCAGACCTCATCCCACACCCCACATCCCTCCTTCCATGGCCCCATGATTCCCCCACTGCCACATGCTCCAGGCGACACCAGCCTGAGCAGCAGATGCTGTTGCTCTCTCAGAATTATTTCTTAATTAACTGATTGAAGAGAAACTCCAAGGTAGATTGTGTGTCTGTGGTTTGATTCCTCCTCTCTCCCTTCAGCAAGCACTAAATTAGACTTAGCTGAATAGAAGATACATACTTAGCTGAACAGAACTTAGGGAGTTGTATGTTCAGAATTTGGTTATCAGGAAATACTTCATTAAAAAAAAGTGTTAATAAAGTCAAGATAAAGGGAACACCCAGAAAACTGAGAGCAAGGACTCCAGGTAACCAGCACGCGGTTAAAGGTGTCTGTGAGATTTCTCTTTGTTTTGGGGATAAACGAGAGCCCCAAGGCTTGCAGGCTGTTTGATGGGCAGGTCTGGGAATTTCTGCCCCCATGGGCTGTGCTCCTACCTGGCAGGTTGTTGATGTAGCCCCCATCCATGAGGAGATGGCCATCCTTGGGGTCACACAGGGGTGGCATGTACCCTGAGAGGGACATGCTGGCCCGGACGTACCTCCACAGGGAGCCTGCAGGGAGGGCAGCAGCATTAATTAATCAGCCAGCATTAATTACTGCCACGCAGGGGGGAGGCTGCTGCACTCATTAAGATAATCAAGAGATAGAGACTTTCCTCAGAGCACTGTGAGGAAGTTATTAAAACAGTTTATTATTTTCTGTATCATACCACTGGCCAGGATAAAACACAGACTATGCAGACATCAGGCAAAGCCCCAGAATCCACAGGTTTAAGCCCATTCCTCAGATTTACTGCCTCCTGTGGGATCTCAGCATTATTCCTACTGCAGGGAGCACCAGGGTTTGTGGAGCTGGGGCTGAGGGGGAAGGAAAAGGTGCAGCTGCAGTCACTGTGCTCTACAGAGATCCACAAACCCCTGACTTTTAGCAGGACCTGAACCTGAAAAATACAAGCTATAGTACCCCCAAAAATTCTGTTTTCCCTCCTCTGCAACAAGCAAACGTTTTGTCTTGTGAAACCACTGCAAATGCCTGCTGGGGATCATTATCTCCTCTTGGGCCATTTCTGTTGGTGCTGTAAGGAACAGTAATAATCCTTTAAGCTGCTAGAAACAAAGTTTAGTCAAGTAGAAATTGATTGGCCGTGTTTCCTGTAAAACATTCTGCTTTAAGGCTCTTATACACTGATTTTTCTCTTAACATTTGCATCAACCAAATTGGGAAGACACTGCATTTCCACAGGCCAAGAGGCTTGTCTGAGAAGTGAATCTTTAAAATACCAAGATAAGTGAGCCTTGCAGTGCTAAATCACTGCTCAGTAATTAACTGCTTGGTGCTTCCAACAGCAACTCTTCCCAGCAAATTCCCTGGGCATTGATTTTCTTTTGGTGTTTTCTTTTTAAAACAGATAACAGCTCTGTTTCTAATTCCAACCCCAGCACTCCTGCTGTTAGCACAGGTTAATGCTGGCACATTTGGGGGTTATTATTAATAGTTTTAGTGGAATTTCCACCCAAGGAAACTGCTGACGTGTGTTACACCTCACAGACCAAACCAAGATGGGAAATGGCAGCAGCTGGGAACTTAATTTATCTCCATTCAGTGGAGACAAGCGTAACCACTCTCCAGCTGATTCCTTTCCTTCCATTAAACTTCCACGGGGACAAGCAGCTGGCTGGAGTGAGTTTCCTGACCTCAACTGGCTTAACCTGCTGTGGAATGGGAATACAAAACCTCTGAGAAGGGTTAATCCTTTTTCTGCTTGTTTTAGCTGCCCTGATCAAAGCCCAGAGTCCTTCAGCAGCTCCATAACCCCCCTGGCATGGCAGGAATGGGCAGTGTGACCTGTGCCAGCCCCAGGGACAAACATCAGATGTGGCAGCAAAGGCTGCAGCTCCCCCCAGGAATATCTGGGGCACCTGGAGGTCTCCTCTGCAGGCTGAGTCACTGACTGACAAAAGGCAAAGGCAGGGACACATCCCAGGCACCTCAGATCCTCCTCCCCTCTTCACTCAGTGACAAACAGAAAGGACTGACCACAAATGAGAGCCCAACTCAGCCCCTGCTTCAGGCAGAGCCTGTTCTGGGGGAAGACAGCTTCATTTAGGGGAATTGGAATTGTCAAAGGCTTTGGTTGCTTTAAGTCTGATTTATGGCTAAAATACCTGCACTTCACTTTAAGGATGCTTTAAGTACACAGAAAGGTGCCAATGGAGCCATTTTCTCCCCAAACAGTGAATGCAGCATCTCATTTAATTCCCTGCCAGCAGCCCTGTCCCTTGTCACCTGTGTACAGCCACAGCTTGGTGCTCAGCAGGTAACACAGAAGGGAGAAGCAAAAGGAAAGACAAATTTGAAAAGTGAGACAAGCTCCAGGAAGAAGGGGTGACCCTGAAGCCTCCCATGATGATTGAAGGCCTGGAGAGGCCATGGCCACACTCACCATCCCTGTGCACCCTCATGGCCGAGGCAGTGATGTCAGTGGTGATGGTGAAGTAAGGAATCCACAGATCCTGCAACAGAAGAGTCCCAAATTCACTAAATCTGTCACCTTGCACTTGACCACATCCTGTGCCTGACACACAGCAGAGCAACAACCTCTGGACCTTACCAGACAGAGCTACAGACACACACCTGCATGGATGAAGGAAACCCCTCAGTCCTGTGTTTAAATTCATAAATTTGTCTCTCATGTAAACAATTCATTCAGAACCAAGGCAGACAAAAATCCTCCTGTCCTTTCTGAAGTAGCTAGAGCCCCTTGTTCCAGCAGAGTGTGCAGAGGCAGCACAGAGAGCTCCTCACACAAACCAGAGCCACCTTCTGCAGGGGGTTTTTGTTTTAATTTCAGGTGAAGGGTGGGGGTCTGAAGGTCACTCCCATCCCAAGGGATCCTGAGGCTGTTTAGTACTGGAGGACATGAAGAACATGATCATCCATGGCCTCCTGACTGAGCAATGGCCAATCTGTACCTCTGGTGATGGAGCCAGGGGTCATCACTTCAGCAGGAAATGCAGACCCAACATTTTTTGGAATCAAAGAGGACAACACTGAACTCTGGAGCACTGGCTACAGGAACAAAGGACCCTGCAAGGTACATCTCCAAGAAAGTTCTAGAGGTTGCCTGAGATCCTGCAGGGTAACACAACAGTGGGGAGTGTGGAACAGAAGGAGGGTGAGACACAAAAAGAATGGCTGAGCCAAGAGCTTTGGGAGTTCATTCAATGGGGCCAGCCCTGCTCCTGGCAGGGGAAGTTCTCCCTCTGGTTTCAGCTGTGTCTCACCTCCCACCTGCTGGAAAAAGCAAAGAGGAAGGTGACCTCCCAAGTGTGTAGGGCTCTGTTGGAGAGAGGACAGTTTTGGAAAGTTTCCATGGTGCCTGGTGAAATGGTAGCTGCCAAGGGGAAGCAGGAGGACTTGTCTGAGTAAACTGAGCTTGTGTCCTGTTCCCAGGAACAGCTGATGCTGCTCTGTCAATCAGAAAACTTGAATCAAGGCACCTGCCCTCCCAGGCAGCCTTTGTTCACTGGACATGGTGTCTGGGCCTTCTCCAGCACAGCTTTATGGGCCTTAAACCCAAACCAAACACAGGTTTGGACCACTGGAGCTGGAAGCTCTCCCTCACTGGCCAGGCTGCAGCTCCTGGTGGGATTTCTGTGCTGTTCAGCGTGAAATTCTGCACTGCCAAGCAGCAGGGGTTTTTCTGCTGAGTTTAATCTCTTCAGCAGCTCTGCAAAGCTGGTGGGACTGGGGAGGGCTCACAGGCACTGCACCAGGATCACAACCCCAGTGTAAATGCCAGAGCAAAGTGGATGAATAAAGTGTGATTACAAGAGAATTAGGGTGCCTCTCCATGCTGAAGATATTCTGGGGATTGCACTTCTCAGTGCATCAAGCACATATTAAGCAGAAATAGGGGAATGGGAGAAGAAGCCTCTCTGACACCTCCTTTCATGTTCCTGCAAGCACCTGCACAAAGCAAACTAACCCAAGGCCTCCCACGCAGCAATAAAGCCTCACTGCTCAGGGATTGTTCCACTGATTTTGGAACAGAGCATCATTCAAGTCTGAAACAGGACTTAATGAAAGTCTTGTCTGATTCCTCACACCTGAGCCTCCAGCTGAGATGATTTACAAGGGCATTTTGGCATGGGGATAAGAACTGGAGAATTCTTATCCCCATGCCAAAATGAAGAATAAAAATTCCAGAGGCTGAAGTTCTCACTGAAGGATGGGTAATTCAAGAGGAAAATAGCTCTATTTCTTGAGAAATTTTCTCCAAGCACCCTGGCCTGGCTTTGTGTGTCCAAGAGCCCCATCCTGGGTTTGGGTGTGCCCTGTGAGGTCTCACATGGATGACCCCAGCTTGGGGAGTGCCTGTGGCTGGAAGCAGTGATGGAGTTTTTGTCACCAGGGCCCCCACACGAGCAGCACTGCTGGGAATCAGGAGACACCCACATTACAAGGGTTGGCAGAGAGCAAATTTCAGAGAAAATGGAAACCTCCCTTCCAGTGTCAGAAATAACAGCTCAACGTCAGCACTCCTGCCTCCCCGTGGGGGAGAGGGGTGAGGGCTCTGTGGGAAGCACAGAGGTGTCACCTCACAGCCACAGCAGCAAAGAGGAGGATCTGGCCCAGAACTACTAAATTTTAAACTTTTCTAGAGCCACGAGGGTCAGCCCCTTGGTAGGAAGCTCCCAGGGTTTCCTGGGATCACTGCAGATCCTCCCAGGAAGGAGCAGCTGTGGCCAAGCACCCAAACACAACCTCTGCTTGTAAGGCTGTAATTAAATTTTGCTGATAGGAATTTCCAGGTAGAAGTCATTGCTACCCAGCCAACCCCACCCCAGCTAGGGAGAAAAGATGGATGCTTGTAGTTTGGATCCTCTACATTCATTGAGAAAATACATTTTCAAGGCTCCTGGCTCAGCTCCTGTTCCTTTCTCAGTCTCCCTTTATCCTGGGGCAGCTCCCAGTTCCAGCACTGGTTACTCCACAGGGAGAGTGGGAATTGCAGTGAAGGAGAAACTCCCCCTTTCCTGCTGTGCTACACAACATTTTTCCTTATTTATCTGAGGGAATTCTTCCCACAAGAGGAAACCCTGGCCATGGACTGAGGGGCTGTGCTGGTCAGCACACGTGCACAGAGATGATGCTGCTGGATGCCTCAGGACTGGATTTCTCTCACACAAAACTTTCCTGTGGCTGGAAGAAAAGAGCAGAATATGCAACTACAGCTGTTGAAATTCCTAAGGAAGGAATCTGCTGCATCTTAAAAAGGAAGTACAATGAATTGACTGCTGGAATCCAAAGCAGGGATAGATAAAAATGGCCTCAAGTTGCACCAGGGGAGGTTTAGGTTGGATAGCAGGAAAAATTTCATCATGGAAAGGGTGGTCAGGCATTGGACAGCTGTCCAGGGCAGTGGTGGGGTCACCATCCCTGGAAGTGCTCAAAAGCCATGTGGATGTGGCACTTGGGGACAGGGGTCAGGGCTGACCTTGTCAGTGCTGGGGGAATTGTTGGACTCAGGGATCTGAGGCCTTTGGCAACCTTGATGATTCCAGGATTCTCTAAAACCTGCTTGTCTCCAGCACCATCCCCTCTGCACAGCAAACTGCTATTTTAAGCCACATGATGATTAATCACTTACTTTCATATTTGCATTTAGGTAGGGAATGTTTTGGATTATTTTTACCAAATATATTTAAAGTATATACAGTGTTAATTTGCTACATGATCTTTCATCACAAGGATGCAAACACAAGAATAATTTGGTTAAAATTGCAAATCAGGTGAAATTCCAAGGCTACCCAAACACTCTCAGCAGGGTAATGTAGGAAGACAAACACTGATAATGTGCTTTACAATCTGCTGCTGCTGAGGGAAAGGGGAGAGGTGCATTCCAAAGGTGGCTCTCGGCTCAGGTGGACCCCACAACACCCAGCAACTACAAAAAGGTGCAAACCAGGACACAAAGGACTCTGCCATTGTTACAGCTTTCAGCAGGCTGCTAAGAAAAACTCACTCCAGCTTCAAAACTAAAATTCAAAAAAGCCAAAGCCATCACAACCCAATTCAAGCCCTTCTCTGGTGTGCCCTGAAGGTCTCTGAGACCTGATTTGCAGGAAAATAATGATGAAGCAGTCTCAGCTGTTCTTCTTCAGTGTCACAATTTTCACTTCTTCTCTCAGACAATGAGATCCCATTGTCAAACTGAAATAGCTACAAATAATGTACAGTTTGTGTTTTCTAAATCCACCAAAAAGAACAGGCTCCTTCTTGCCACCATGGACCATCACATTAACACTTTCACCACGTTTTCAGTCACCCAACAGCTCCAAATTTCCATATTAGCATTAAAAAAAAGCTATTTCTGCTCCAACAGAACACAGAGACAATTTCCTGTCCATAAGGTGAATAAACAACCTACCTCTATCTGCTTATCTTTGAAGATGTTGTTGATGCTGTTGTTAAAAGCTGCTCCAGAAAACATAGAGGTTATTGGGTATGTCAAGTCTAGAATAGTCTTAAACACTGAGTTCATAACCTAAAAAGGGAAAAGAAAAGGCATTTCAAAGGTCAGAATGCATAGGAATGTGTGCATTGAGGCTGCAATTCCAGAGACATCAAATTCCAGAGTTCAGAGCCCACATGCTGGAAGCATCACAAGTGCAGAAAGTGTTCAGGGGACAGAAATCCAGCTACAAAATCTACAAGCAGGAGCTCCCTGTGTGGTAAATTTACATTTAGTAAACCCCAAAGCAGAGCAAGCCCTGCAGTAAAGCTCTGCCAGGAGGAGCCTTGCTCCCCTGTGCCCCAAACCAGCCCCAGAGCAGCGTGCCCAGCACAGCCCTCAGCCTGGGCACGAGGCCACAGATGCTGCAGCTCCAGCCTTTACATTTTCTCTAGTAAAAAAGATGTTCTGAGTTGTCTTCCTCTCCATTATCCTTCCCACAGCACCTGTGTGGTTCAGTGGTGTGGGAAGGAACCCAGAAATCCATGGCAGGAATTGCTTCATCCATCTCTTCTCATTTGGGGATCACACACAATTTTTCTCCCAGACCTAAAGCTTCTCTCTGCCTCAGTGGAGGCATTTAGAAAATCATGTCTGGGATTCTCTGGGGCTCCAACAAGGTTCAGTCAAACACGTGTCATGGAGCTTTGAACACTTTCTGTGGAGCAGGGTCCATGATTTGTCATTCCCAAAGTCGCTTATTGGGATGTGTTATGGACCCAGCATTTAACTGCTGCAAACTCAGCAAGGGAAATCCAACCACACCAGGCTCCTGAAAACTGCAGGTCTCTGAACATCAACCCTTCTAACACACAAATCCTGGAATTAAGCTTTCACAGATTCCTTTTTTCTCCATTTCAACAGCATTATTACACCTATGTACTGACCTACAAGAGAAAATGATGAAAATCCCTAAACTTTATGGCATTATGGCCATGGTATTTGCCCACAACTAGGGCATTGCTGTCAAATCCTAATAAATCTTAACAAAATTCAATGTTTAATATATTACACCATAGTCAAAATGTAGAAGAAGACAACAAAACCCAATTAATTCTTTTCAAATTAAATAGAATTTCACTGGATGAAATATTTCCATGAGATGAAATATTTTCTCTCTCTACATGTTCTCTGTAATTTAACAGCTTCTCAGAGATCAGGGCATCCTTCCCAGGCAGACACATGGAACAGCCTCAAACCTGCCAGCTGTTAGAGCAGCTGTGCACAGCATCTGGCCTTGGCTTTACTCTGCAGTGATTTCAGAGCAGCAGGATCAGCCTACATTGTTATGTCCAGCTGCTTTCATATTTCTGTCAGGGATCTGCCCAGAGAAAACCAGTGCAAGGATAAAAGAAAGATCACTAAGAACAAGGATGGGAACAGGAAGTGTGGGAGAATGTAAAAGGCTGAGCACAAACCCCAGGATGAAGCTTCATTCACATCTTCACTCTGGGTTTGATGTGCTGAGGACAGTGTGCCAACCTAACTATAGACTGCTACCCACAGCTTCAGAGGGAGATGGAATTAGTGCTGCACCTAAAATAGGGATCAGGTCTCTTCAGAATGATTAAATCAGGGGAAGAGGCATCTACAAAGAGCCCTTTATTTAATAGTGAAGAAAAACCTCTCCCACTCAGCAGCAGCCATTGGGCTTCCCTTGTTGCAAATTATATTTATGGTGCTGAGCCTCCACATTTCTCCTGATCCTGACAGTGATCTTGTCCATGGACAAAATACTTCCAATTAACAGTTATTTCTTAATATTCTCATTTCTCAAAGCTGGAAGATGCCCTTTAGCTGAAGCTGATGGCCAACAGCCTCCAGAGCCTTCCAGGAATAGCTGCAACCACCTCCTGTTCCCCAGATAAATTCAGTTAAAGATCACCCTCTGGGGAGGCAGACAGAGCCTTCTGCCTCCTGCTCCACTTCCTCCCAGGAGCTCTGGGATCAGCTCCAGCAGCTCCAAGAGTTTCATCCCCTGACACCACCAGGATGGGAGGCCCAGCCCTGCCAATGTTCTCAGGGCTTGCAGGTCACGGAATTGTGGAATTTTTTGGGTTGGAAGGACCTTAAATCTCATCTCATTCCACCCCTGCCATGGCAGGGACACCTTTCACTGTCCCAGGCTGCTCCCAGCCCCATCCAACCTGGGCTAGGACAATTCCAGGGATCCAGGGGCAGCCCCAGCTGCTCTGGGCACCCCGTGCCAGGGCCTGCCCACCCTGCCAGGGAGGAATTTCTTCCCAATTCCTCATTAACTTTTCATGAAATTCCATTACTACAGCTCTGATACAAGATGAGCTTTCTTTTTAAAAAGACCTTCAATCCTGAAATCATTTTTAAGTGAGCCTAGGGTATAGAAAAGTTCAGCAAGGAAGGGAGAAGGTTCTGCTCACAGAGCAGAAGGGCAAGAACAAAGGCAAAAGAGGAATTGTCATCTCTGGCTCTTTTGTTCTTTGATGCAGCATTGTGGCAAACTGGTGTGAAAAGCCAGTATAATCCCAGGATTTTCCAATGTTCCTGACTATAAAAACCCCCAAGGTTATAGGAAAACTTATGAAACAACAGAAATTTCAAACAGATCCAGTATTTTTTAAACTACTCAAAAGATCACATAATGCCTTCTCAGGATTCACCTGAAGTTTCAATAAAACAAGGAAAGGAATTCCCACAGGAAAAAAAAAAGTTAATTCAATACAATAAAAAAATAAATCAGGGCTGGATGAGAATTGGCATGACAGGAAAAAACCAAGGACTGATTTCTGGCCAGATCTGCCCATTAAAGCACAGGATCTCCCAATGCACAAATGGAGCAGGGTCAGAGGCAGAACCTCCTGACTCCCTGGGCAGAACCCCCACATTTATTTCAGCTGTCAGTGCCACCAGACAGTGACAGGGAGCAAATGATGGCAGTGTCCCACCCAGCCAGCCTCCATCCCCAATAGGAGCAGTGTTTTAGCCCCACACACATCTATAACTGTATTCCTTTCTAAGAATATTCCATCTTTGTGAAATATTTCTACCTTGAGATATTAATCCTCCAATTAAATAAAACAACTGTCTGCAAACACTAAAGCTTTGGCTTGTTCACTTTGCTGGTAAAACAGAGGTGCAGAAGACACAGAGACAATACACAGTAACTAATCTGACTGGGAATTTTCATATTTCCCCCTGTATTTTGACAAGAGTAATTTATTTCTTCACTGCTTCATTAGGTGCAGAAAACACATCCCATTAAAAATATCCCTTCTCCCAGCACCAAGTGTAGAGCTAGAGAGATGCCAATTGCTAAAAATACCAAAAAGAGAAATAGATGCAGGACAAACAGCATTCAGCCTGATGGATTAAACAGAAGATAAGAAAAGCTCAGAGTTAACTAATCCATGCCAATGAAGACATTTCCCACGTGGGCCAGGCTGCTCTCAGCAATAACCTTCCCCAGCACAGGCTCAGAGCTGCAGAGGAGCAGGTCCTGGAGCAGGGAATGCTCCATCCAGCCCTTCTGCCTGGCTGCTCCTGGGGCATCTCCTGCACAGCCACCCCCAGGGCTGCTCTGGGGACAGCAGGAAAGGTCCCATTGGGGAATTTGGGGGTTATCTGGGGGATATTTCGGCTCTCTCTCCCTCAGTCCCTTCAAGTGGATCTTCCAAGAATTCCCTAAAGACCTCCTGGCTGTTTCCCACACACTGGGGCTCCTTTCCCCTCTCCCTGCTCAGCATTAACACCATACAAGAGTCAACACCTCAGAACAGCCACTGATAAAAATTTTCTAATGCACCAAACTCTGCACATTGTGATCTTGGAGAGGGGATTCCATGGCTCTCTTCAGTTTGCAGCCATTCTGCTGGACACTGCTGGTACCACTGGGAAGGGCAGGCTTTGCTTTTGTCCTCCTCAAACCCTTAGACAATTTCTGGGCTGGACATGGACCTGTAAGAACACTCATGGAAGTCCTCATGAAAATCTGTTCTTCAATACTAAGATGAAATGTTTGCTCTAACAGAGGTCAATCTCTTCTCCCACTACTTATTTGCAGCGTTCAAGGCAGCAACACCTGAAACAGCCCCAGGCCAAAAACTGCCTTTTACCTTGTGAAATGTTCTCTGAGCTTTTGCATTTTGTGCTCAAAAGTTAATCAACAGATTAAATGCCTTCATTTCATCTCTAAGTATTCCTGATAAAAGTGACTGTGATTCCAGCTCTGGCAAGCTCCAGAGTGGGAACAGGGTCCTGAGAAGCCCAGGAAACATCTCCAGCTCTGCCTCATGCCCTGCACAGGGCACACCTGACAAACAGGAGGAGAATCCTCTGGACAAATGCACAGAAGGAAATTCCATGGCTGTAGCTTAGCCAAGAGCTGGGAGAGAGGGCAGAGAGCCCCAGAGTGCTGGGGGCTGGGAAAGCTGGGAGGTATCAGCAGCCACTCAGATGCTGCCCTGGAGGCACAAGGTGGGAGAGAGAGAGCAAGGTTAAGGGATTGTCTGACACAATTCAGTGCATTTGGCTTTATGTCTTTAATCTTGAACCTCCCCCAGGTTTGTGATTCCAGCAAACTGCTCTGGATCATAAACAGTTTATGTTTTGGGTGCTTCCCAAGCCAGCCAGGCACAGGCAGTTCTTAAATAAAAAGCATAAAATCCATATTCTTCTGGCAAGCAGTGATGGGGAGGTGAATCAGTCCCACAGCACTCTGCCCACCAGGACAGCACAAACATCCCAGGGCCTCAATGTGCATTTCAGTCCCTCACACAATCCATCTTCCCAGAGACAGTTTTTGTTGCAAAGCCATGGCAGATTAGAGGATCCTTGGGAGACATAAACAGTGCCCACATGCCAAGGACAGGGTCCTGTTTCCCCCTGAAACCCAAGACCTAAGACTCTTAATCTCATTTATAAAATTCCCTATGTCATTTCATTTTCAGTAAGAAAATCTACAGGAAAATCTGGGGTTAATGTGAAGAATACGAACTTGCAACCAGCAAAGAACCTCACCTTCAGTCAGGCTGAACCAATGGCACCTGGGACAGTTTTCATCCAACATCTGATCAATAAATAAAACCAAGGCCAGGCTGGATGGGGCTTGGAGCACCCTGGGATAGTGAAAAGTGCCCCAGCCCATGGCAGAGGTGGAATGGGGATGATCTCTAAGGTCCCTTCCAACCCAAACCAATCTTTGATTCCATGATAAATAAACTCACCCAATGAAGTCACTATTTAAAACAACCTTCCCAAAACTTGGGTTAACTTTGAAAATGAGCTGTTGTTTGTACTAAATATTGATAGTTAGGACCTTCTCCTGACCCAGAGTCCCAGTGCTGTGGAGTGCACAGGCAGGACCAGGAGTGACACATTTGGGAGTTATTTAGAGAAGGATTACCTCTGTCACTCAGTTCCACTGACACATGACAGCATGTGAGAAAGAGAGAGAATTACACAAAACAGAAACACATTTGTTGAGAGCTGGAAAGGAAACAGGCCCCAGCACATAAAAGAGAAGATAAAACAAAGATAACCACAGGTGAGCACACTGAGACAACATCTCTGTGCCTTGACAGTGTGACCAGGATTGGTGCAGAGCTAAGCCAGGCCGCTGCCTCCTGACTGCTTGGACATGGAGCAGCTTTTCCAGGTGATCCATCACTGCCAGGCAGGGCTTACTCTGTGGAACACACACTGAATTTCAGGAGGCTGCACCTTCCTGGGGTGCTGCTTGTGCCCTGCTGTGCCTGGGCCTTGCTCCACTGGAGGAGGGAAGCACAGCATTCCCAGGGGAGGGAATTCAGCATCCCCAGTGGAGGGAATTCAGCATTCCCAGTGGAGGGAACATTCCTAATGGAGGGAATTCAGCACTCCCATGGGAGGGCATGTTCCCATAGGAGGGAATTCACATTCCAAGTGGAGGGAATTCAGCATTGCCAAGGGAGGGAATTCAGCATTCCCAGTGGAGGGAATTCAGCACTCTCATGGGAGGGAACATTCCCAGTGGAGGGAATTCAGCATTCCCAGTGGAGGGAACATTCCTAATGGAGGGAATTCAGCACTCCCATGGGAGGGAATGTTCCCATGGGAGGCAGTTCCTATGGGAGGCAATTCACATTCCAAGTGGAGGGAATTCAGCATTGCCAAGGGAGAGAATTCAGCACTCCCATGGGAGGGAACATTCCCAGTGGAGGGAATTCAGCACTCCCAGTGGAGGGAACATTTCCAGTGGAGGAAATTCAGCACTCCCAGAGGAGGGAACCTTCCCAGTGCAGGGAATTCAGCATTCCCATGGGAGGGAGCATTTCCAGTGGAGGAAATTCAGCATTCCTAGTGGAAGGAACATTCCCAGTGCAGAGAATTCAGCACTCCCAGGGGAGGGAACATTCCCAGTGCAGGGAATTCATCGTTCCCATGGGAGGGAATTCAGCATTCCCAGTGGAGGGATTTCAGTGTTCCCATGGGAGGAAACATTCCCAGTGGACGGAACATTCCCAGGGGAGGGAATTCACATTCCCAGGGCAGGAATTGCCAGTGGCAGTGCTTACCATGGCCCACTGGCGAGCTTTGATCCTCATCTGGTTGTAGCTGCGCTCCTCGGCGTACAGGGCGCTCATGAAGGCGCCGATGGACGTGCCCCCGATCATGTCCACGGGAATGCCAGCCTCGATCAGCGCCCGGATCACGCCCACCTGGGAGCAGCCCCTGTGCCAGGGAGGGAGGGAGGGAAGGGAGAGAAGAGCCACTGTCAGCCAGGCAGTCATTGAGGGAGTGCAAAGGCTGGGGATGAATGGTGCCTTCTAAGGAAGCCGAGCCCGCGCCAGCTGAGCTGCCAATCTCTTGCTGAACAAGCCCCGGTGCCAGGAACAAACATTATGAATGCAGGAATCCTCCCAGAGACTCCCAGAGGATCTGAGGGAACACGACCACGCAGCCTGGATCACTGGGAAAGGCAGGGAGATGACAGCAGCCAAGAGCTGAGCTGGTGGATGGGCGAGGGAACGTCAGCGTGGACTTGAGGGAGCAGAGTCTACTGGGGTCCCCCCAAAGCACCCAGGAAAGGCTGGAGTTCAGAGCCCTTCCCACCAGTTTCTTTCCTGGTGGTTCTCCACAGAAACTGAGCCAGCCTGGGGTATTGGGAAGGGGCACCACATGGATTAATAATGAAATTTGAAGGTGGAAACAAAAGCAAGCAGAGACAAACAGTGATGAGAGAGCAGAGGTTGGGTCTGCACACAAGCCCAGGAGAGGGACAGATGAGGAGGCAACTTTTGAGGATAACACAAATTCCTTCAGGAGAGTAAACTTATTCCTTGATTTCAAGTGCAGAAGGAATTCTGAGCAACAATGGAGACAGGTGATAAACAACAGATGAACCTCAGTGCTGATGGGACAAGAGGAAAACAGAAGCAGCAACGCCCCTGCAGCAACCAGCTCTAATCCAGCTCTGCTCACATGGATTTGGGAACCCCTGGGGATATTCCCTGAAAAATATTAACCTACTGTGCAGTGCAAGGTCAAGTGGCAAATCAAAGAAACCAGAATAAAACAGAAAACATAAGAGCACACATCCAGGATGGGCCAGCATTTGGAAAACCATGAGCAAGCTCAGACTTCTCACCCAAAAAAAGAGCAGAACTAAAAAATGACAGAGAGAAGCACAAAAGGTGACCAGAATATAGGATGGACTTCACAGGAGGAGAAAGTAAACTGGAATCACTGACTGGGGAAGATCCTGACTGATGGGAAACATGCAGGGTCAGCAATGATATCACCATGCAGAGATTTTAATGGAAAGGAAAGAATTTGCAGACAGGTGTAGATAGAGCACAAACTGGGGAAGCCACTGTTACCACATGCTGGAGAGGTCAAATCACAAATGGATTTAAATGTGGAAAGGATGAATCAAAGGTACCAGGCTGTCAGTGGCTACTAAACATGACAAATGGGAGGTGCAAGCTGGTGTTCAGGAGGCTCAGGAGCTGCTAATTGCTGCTCCCCACCATCAGAAATGAGAGAGCAGAGGTGGAACCTTTGATCTGATCCTATGAACATTTGATCACATCTGATCTTTTATCCCCTAGTGGGAGAGAGATCCCTGCCTATCCCACAGAACCACTGAACACTGCACTGGAAGCAAATTGTCCTTCCAAGCAGCCCAAAGCTGCTTTTCAATGCTCTGTCCAGTGAATAAGAAGCATTTTTGATTAGTTCATCCCACCTGGATGGATGCTTTGCAGTCTAGGCCATAAAGCAGTAAAAAACACTTCCTTTTCCCATTTCCATCCCATTTTCTGTCCCCCACAGTTTGCTCTATTTCCATCCTCCTTCCCCTTGCTGTTTACATCCTATAAATACTTGCTAACAGCTGCCAAGTCCACCGTAGGTGTCACTTGGCCAAGCTATGCTGAGCACATTCTTTCCATCCAAATAAATCCCCTCCAGCTGCTGAAATGCTTTGGGACAGGTTTGTGGTTATCCTGGGTGTAAATGACTTCAATGACAGATCTGTGCTGCTGCAATCCAAGAGCAGAAAATGGCTCATTTTGCTTTCCTTTCCAAATTCCCCTTCTCCTCTTCTCCTACTGCTTCTTCCCACCAGATGCCCTGAGTTAAAGGAATTCTCCTTTTTCCCTGCCCATTGTTTTTAGGTTTTCAGAGTGCAGCTATTTTGGAACTCTGCTGCTCGTGCCTGGCACTTGCCACTGTCTCAGCCCTGATACTCCACAAGGAGCAGACCTTTCCCTGCACCTCCTGCTCTCTGGGCACAGCCCACATCAGGTGCCTTTCTTAGGGCACCTTCAAGTACCTTAAACTATTTCCTCCTTGGAGGACAATTTTAAACAGGCCATGAGTAGCTCCAGACTGGATTCTCTCTCTTTAACTGTTTTTCCCAATTCAGACATCCATAAATACAAAGGATTTGATGTGAGCACTCTGGATTTGTTCCCATTTTGCTGCATGATGCCTTTGCATGAATAACAAAAGATCATCATTACTTTTATTGGCAAGTCACCCCCTCCTGGTGCATCCACAGAGTCCCTGCCAATACCCCACTAATGTGACAGCCACAGATCTCCAACAGATTCACTGATCCCAAAGCAAGATGGGAATCAAAGTCCTTTTCTTGCTTCTAAAAGAACCTCCATAAGCTGCCTGATTAAATCATGTTTCATTTATACACAACCACAAAGCTGATTCTTCCAGCTCCAACACCCTGAGCAGGAACATTCCTGGAATTTGCAAATTAAATCCTGAAAAAAGACAAATGTGCCTGAGCCCCCCCTTTTCTCCAGGTGGTCCTGGCCTCCTGAAAGACAGAAATGGGGATTTTTTTTCCCCCTTCTCCCTACAGCTTTAGGCCATCACTGCCCCAGCAATGTTACTACATGGGACTTCTCAACAACTCCTTGCAGTTGTTGGTTCTGTCCTGGGCACTTCCCAGCTCCCCAAACACGGGCAGGCTGCCAGGGGAAGCGTGTGCCAGCGCCCTGCCAGGCACTCATCCCCTCTGCCAGCATCCCTGGGCTCCCACAGAGCTGCACTGGGCAGCTGCAGACTGAAGAGGAAAAGGAATTGAAGCCAGGAGCAAGATCCATGTTCACAGCCAGAGGACCAGTGCAGAAAAAACCCCAGGGATTGTGCACTCCTTGTAATACCAGGCTCAATTTCACAGGGGACGTGTCCTGGTTTAGGGAAATGTGGAAATACAAGTGTTGGGCAGGAGGAGAACAAAGGGAGATGGGTAACTCCTGGCAGTGCTGTACCTGCACAGCAGTGACAAGGTGGACAGGGAAACCTCCAGGTGACACAGAGCTGAATGTCACTCACTGCAGAGGAGAGCACCAGGGGAGTGCTGCCACACGGGAGGAAGGAGCACCCCAGAGAGGGGATGGACACACAGACTGTCCCTGGAGCTGCACATGCAGCTCCTCTCACCCTAGAGCTGCCTGAAGGAGCAGCTGGATGCAGCACCTCCCCTGCCAGGACTGGCACTGCCCTGGGACAGTGACAAGGGGCCTAGGAACAATGATCTACAAGATGACTTTCAAATAATTTCTATCAGAACCCAAAGATTTGCCCAGGAGGTGCAATCAGGATCTGAACAGAAACTCTTTTCCATTGTACTCCATGCCTAGGACAGGTCTGATTCATTAATGCCCTTTGCAGAGAGAGCTGAGCCAGCATCACCCAGCTCGAGGAGGGGCTGGAAGCCAGAGCCAGGCTCTGTTCCCAGCCCTGCCCCTGCCTCAGCCTGACCTGAGCAATGCAAAGCAGGGGCTGCTCTGGGCATCAGCTGCCCCAGGTGCTGCTGTGTGCACTCACCAGATCATGATCCCCGTGCTGAATGAGCCTCCAGAAGCTGTGCTGGCTAAACTCCAACACCATTCCTTGTTTACTACTCATGGCCACAAGGAGGTCACTTGGTCTGGTCAGCTGGACAAGAGGAGACTGAGGGGAGACCTCACTGCAGGTCCAGGTTCCTTGTGAGGGGAAGAACAGGGACAGCTCTGATCCCTCCTCTGCATGACCAGGGACAGGAGCCAGGGCACGGCTGGGGCTGGGCCAGGGCAGCTCAGGCTGAGCTCAGGGCAAGGTTCTTCCCCCAGAGGGTGCTGGCACTGCCCAGGCTCCCCAGGGAATGGGCACGGCCCCGAGGCTGCCAGAGCTCCAGGAGCCTTTGGGCAGCGCTGCCAGGGATGCCCAGGCTGGGGTTGCTGGGACAGGGGCTGGGCAGGGACAGGGGCTGGGCTGGGGGATCCCTGTGGGTCCCTCCCAGCTCAGGGGATTCTGTGATTCTGGGAAAGAAATGACCACAAAGCAGAGAGAGGAGGTTGGAGACCTGCTTCCCTAAATACCTCAGCACAGCACACACTGAGAGCTCAGCCTTTCTGCCAGAAGGTCTTACAGGAAAATTCCTGCTGCTGAAATGAGCCCTTGCTTTCATCCCCTGGGGAAGTGCTGCTGGCATGTGACTGTAATGCATGAAGGCCAGAGCAGAACTGATAAAAGGAAAATTCCCCTGTGAGCTGTGCATGTGCCAGCCCTGCACGTGCTGCCAGAGCTGGGATGAATCTGCCTGAGGAGAAGGCAGCCAGTGCAGCAGGACATCCCAGATCTGAGTGCCAGGAGGAAGGCAGGCTGTCCTCCTGCTCAGGGGCTGAAGGAAACACAATCAACACAAAACCAATATTTTGTGCACCAGTATTTCCCCCAGGAGCCACACCAGCAGGATGCTGCCTGTGTTTGAAAGAACACCCCGAGCCTGGGAGCAGCCAGAGGGGAGACTAAGGGTACAGCCAGGCAAGGCTGCAGCTCAACTACCTCCAAAGTCCATGTCAGCTTCAAAAAAGAAGCTGGACTCAAGGAGGAATCCAGCCTGAGCAGCCCCATCTCTCCTCCTAACTGACTCAGCAGGGTGAAGGAGATCTCCCTGAAGGCTCTGAAGAGATGCTGTTTCCTTTGGCTAAAGAAGGATTAAGGCCATGGCTGCTGCAGAGCTCTGCTGTGTCTCCCACCAAAGCCTCCCCAGAGTGGGACACAGCTTCCAGCCCTCCTTCCTGATGGAGCTACCTGGCAAAGGAGGCAGAAAAATAGTGAAATTGTCAAGGGGACTTTATTAAGCTCCATTAGAGCCCAACAAACCTGAATTAAGACACCCTCAGAACCTTAAAACTCCTGAAGCAGCAAAGCCATGAAAGCTT